CAAATATAAAGTCGAAACGACACAAATTGCTTGGCGCTTGTGCCTGCTATGGCCGTCTCCTTCACACGCTGACTCTGTGTCTCTTTCTGGTCCGTTACGGAATCTTTCTCTCACGCACTGTCTCTGGCTGTGTGCAGTTTGCATTCTTGTGCTAGTGTGACATTCTTTGGTACAAAGTATTTCAAAATGGAATGGAATGTCATAGTGCTGTCTGCCATGCGAACTGTAGCCATCTGTCCAGACATCTTAAGCTTTAAAATAATTTAATCACAGTTTTAAGGCAACTCAACAGCCCCTTCAGTAAAGCATTATTTAAACAATAAAACCGCATTTTAATCTGAAACGGAAATTCAATGACTTCTGTTGCTGGTTTGCCATTTTGGGCAAACATTTTGGGTGTTGTGCCACCCACTTTGAATGAGCATGCATAAATTACATAAGCCGTAACAATTAATTGTGGCACTCTTTTTGTGTGCTCCACAAAACATGCAACAGTAACAAGAGGCGGCAATCCAAGCCGAATTTTTGACAAAACCATTTATCTTATTTGCACGCATTCGCCGCCACAATCGTCAGAGTAAATATAAATCGAGCGAGAGAGCTGGCACTCAGCAGGAGCAGCAGCAGCATCCATTTACCCGCTAGAGATTGGGAAATTTACACTTAAGGCCTCCTGCCTCTTGCTGGCTTCGTGGCTGTCAGCAGCGGCTGAAACTCTGCTGCTTAATTTTATATGAAAAAGAAATAATCAGAAATGCTTTTCATTAAATTTCTTTAATTATTTCGTGCTGTTACGTGACTCGCTGCCATCTCCAATGAAAGCTGCTGCGGTTCTCGTGGGAGACTTGCCAAACGGCTGCGAGAGGGAGAGAGTGTAAGAGAGTTTTGAGGTAGATTGCTGTAAATCGTATGCGACACTCGTACACGATTCGTAAATGGAGCCGCAGAGGCTGCCCGCCAGCTGCAGTGCCGCGCCTCAATGGGAGGGAAAATGGGGTGGAGTGGAGCGGAGTGGAGTGGAGCAAAGTGCCAGGTGAATGAACGTAAAAGTGTTTTCGCGTCTCAGACTTTCACTCCGATTGCATCATAGAACTTTCCCAACGCCTTGACATTCTCTCTGCCCCCGCTCACGTGCAATTAAAATTCCTTTGAATTGCAATCTTGTGCGGCATCGCGTGAGTTTTCGCTGGTTTGCTCAGCAGCTGCGGCTGCTGCTGCGGCTGCCGTTTTGCGGGCTTGCATAATGGCCGTGATTTCCCGGGATGTTGTGAAACCGGGAGGGGAGCTAGCGGTCTGGAAGTAATTATATGTGCAAATATTTTCTAACGAGCAAATGCAATGAATACCATTTAATTGACATGGCTGGGCAGGAGAGCGAACGTTTTGCAATCATGAATGTGTAATGAGAGAGAACTCATTATATTCTTTATCTTTTTGTATCTGTTCGTCTCTCCCTGTCTTTTTCTCTTTTCCCGCTGTCTCTTTCTCAGTATGAATAAAAATGCAAAGCCTTTTAGCAGCTTACTGGGCGAAATCCTCTGCCTTGACAAAACGCATAACTTAATTGGATTGCAATTATAATTGAAGCGCGTTCAAGGACTGCTTCAGATGCATGAAGGAGCCTCGATGGCTGGCAATCAGCTGACACAGTTTTCTCCTTGAAGCTAATTAGTAGTAAAGATTTTTGTCGTATATGTTGGAAGTCCTTTGAGTCCGCACTTAATCTCCACATAACAACAGGAAACCCACTTCGGCAATCTCGTACATTCAATCTTCAAGCCCATATAAAATATTGACAGAATTTCAAATTATTACAGTCCTACTTTTAGTTTGTTTAGTTGATAAATTGTTTTCCACGAAGCTCCCAACTATAAATAAATAAACCCAATCTGATACCCGGCTACGTCATTGCCGTTTTACAATTGCAAAAAAAAACTAGCCAGAAAAAACACATAAAAACCCAAAGAAAACAAATAAAACACTAAAGGAAACAACTTTTACGACAAGAGCAAAGAAAATTCATTGACCCGCATGGCGGGTACGCAATATTCCGACGCATATTGCGTCTGCGACAGAGTCGTCCTTAACCTTAACCATAGCCTACCCCAGCCAGGGGAAATGAGAGAAGGCCGGATCAAAAACTAAGCCAGAGGCCAGGCAGCTCCCATCGCCAGGCCAAAGGAAACTCTGATTTCAAAACCCCACTTTATGTCCCTTTGTGAGCGGTAAAGTCCTTCGCTGCCAGCCAGCCAGCCAGTCAGCATATGAAGCTGACAAAATATTTTGGCATAATTAACTTCAACCCGACAAAGGACTGAAGGATAACTCGTGGGAGTGCCATCACCGCCCACTCGTGCAATTAAAGTTTATGCCAATGCGAAACGCAGAAAAGCCATTTCACCATTTAGATTTCCCATTACAGATTGTCAAATAGAACAAGACTGTGCCAAAACTGTGTGGGAATTGTGCAGCACAGTATACAACTGTGGAAAACTGTTGAAAACTGTTGAAAACTGTGGAAAACTGTTGAATTTTCAACATTTCGGTTGGAGGAGTGCATTTCCAGAAGAAATGGAGATGGAGCTGCCTGTCTTGTCTTATTTTTTGCCACTTGAAATGTGTCTTGCGCTCAGTTGATTTTTGAAATTAATTGAAATTGCTTGAGGGAAAGTCGGGGGTCTTGGAGACCTGGGCCCCCTTGACGTCAATTTGAAATGCGCAGTTTGGAAGCCACTGTCCCAGTCGGATATCTTAAGCTTCAGTCCTTTTGATGAGACGAATCAGAGGCGAGGCAGTGGGTAGGTTGGTCTATTCGAATCGGCTCAAAGTGGCTTTGCCATTGAAAAACTTTTGCCCAGATATTTAGCTGGTTGGGAGTGCGAATTGAGAAGGTTTCCTGGCTGCCAGGCTGCTGGATTAGGTAAATTGTTAATTTGAAATGGAAAAGTTTGAGTGCGAATGGATTGCTGGAGCAGCTCTTCCTCTTCCGGGTTTCGGACCCAAAAACACACGAACATTGTCCGCAATTCAATTCAATTTAATTCAATACCCAACTGAACGCAACTGAAAATGTTACACTTTAAACGTTACACTTTGGTCGCACTCAATAGCCGTGCTAAGTATGCTAAGTGCCATTGCCCAATCATTCGGGAATCACGTGAATAGTGCTCGTAACTTAAAAGCCACTAAATGCAGAACTGTAAGTAGTATGGAGGAAGAGGAGGAAGTACTTTAATACTAATACTAAATCCATGGAATGTAAATACGTCATAAGGCTGCCACAAAAACAAAAAAAAAAAAACCAAAAGTGTTAATACTTCAAGCTACCTTTTACTTGAGTTATTGTAATTATTTGCTCTTGGGGAAAGTAGCTGGAAATAGCTAGAATTTATTACACTTATGTCTCTTTGCAGCTTCTCTAAACTCCGCGAAATTTTAATGCGTGCAGCTCGAAAAACCTTTAAAATATACATTTCGTAATCGTAAATGTCACATATTATGCACGAATGGCATATACCCTTGTGCTCAAAAATTACTTGGCACAAGTTCCCTTTTCTGGCCTCCGGGTCATTGTCAATGCAAGAGACAGAACAGAGCGTCGCTAAAAAGTAGCCAAAGATGAAGGCGAGACAGTTTTGAATGCATTGTTCGTCTGGCGCGAATTGCATTTTGCCTTCAATCAATACTTTGAACCCTTGACTGAGTGGCCGACTGCCCGATTGCATGACTGACTGACTGCCTGACTCCCCGCCCGGCATTTCATTTTGATTGATGTGCGCTGATTTTTATTGATTTCTCCCTTTTGCATTTTTTTATTATTTGCATAAAGTGCAAAAATGTGCTCAGCTCCCATTGGGATGCCGGCCGCGATGTCGTGGATGCCTCAAGTTCAGACGACTAAGCAATTAAAGCAGCAGCAGCAGCAACAACAAAATGCGAGTCAATCGAAGATTGACCGGGAGTGGGGTGGAAGGTGCAGCGGGAAGTCGCGAGTCGATCAGACCGAGACGACGACGCATAAATTTCATTAAGCTGCCAGCTGTCGCTTAAACAAATTCAAGAAAGTCGAGTCTTTGACACGGATTCAGTGGGGCACCGAGCACAGCCCAGTACTTGGGGTTGAGAGACCTCAGAACGGGGGAGATAATTTGCGCCTCTCTCTCTCGGCCGCCGTACTACTTTTTTGTTTTGTTTTACCCACAGCACATTGTATTAGCCGGAATGCATTTCCATTTCAAAAGCCATTTATAAATAGCTGGGCTACAGCGCCAGCGGCTACAGAATCTAGAACAATTCAACTGACAGAGCCGCTGCCACAGACAACTTTCAATGTGGCTTTCCCAGTTGACTTGACCCGACTTTTGCCAGACTTTCACTGCTCTCGGAATTCAATTCGCCTTTCATTTTTTTTCCCCTCACATGTTTCCACGTGGCTTTTCTTCCTAGCCATGCGGAAATTGTTTTAGCCGCAGCAGCCAAAAAATTTCGTTATCCGTAAAAGTTTTTCCATCCTCCCGGAAGGAACGAAAGGAAGGAAGCGGCCACAAAAGTTTGCCATAAATAAAAAAACGAAGAGAACAAAACAAAAAGGCCAAACAGTAAAGTAACATTAATAGGATTTTGGCTAATGAGGATGTAGAGGGGCATCTCAAAATTGCCTAAACAATTTACGGCCCCTTCGCTGTACAATAAAGAAGCTAAATGTGTGGAAAGTCCGAAAAACGGAACTATGATCGAGAGTTTTAATTGCAAACGGTTTATTGAATTTAAGCTTCTCTTTGAATGTTAATTTTAAAATGGAAAAGAGGGAAAAGGATTTATTTATAAGAATTTTACACATTCACTCTTCGTATGCGGACACCATCTTCGAAGTAATTTGAGTAGATCCATACTCAATACAGAAGCAGTTTCTATGCTGGAATTGTAAGTTAACATGTAAAATGAATGTGAATGCTTAAGGATGCTTTTCTTGGTCAAAAGAAAAAAAAAACCAGTGTAGTTTCTTAATGTTTATTGCCAAAATTGGAGAACGAAAAAGCAAAAGATTTCCTGATGAATGAAAATCAGCTCGAAGCATTCGTTTTAGTTGGATTGTGATTGTGTGCCGTCCCGTCCTATGACCCAAACATCATAGGAATAGACTCTTTTTCCGCTTCACTTAGTACTTATTTAAGTATCTGCAAATGTATAGATTTAAATTAGTTTTATAATTATTGCTTTTCGCAAAAATATTTACCAATCCATTGCATCGATCCATTCATCATTTCTGTTCCATATCGTTCTCGATTTACTATTTTTTTTTTTGATTTCGAAAATTTTTTTTTGTTTAACTTAGAACATTTTGCAGAACATAAACATAACCACCATCATTTTTGTGTCAGATGTATACAAAATATCGGATGTTCCACCCGTGAGCTGACTAAAATGTATGCATAAAGCCATGGAATAGCAACTATCAATCAGTATGATGCAATTCGACAAGACTGCATTTGAAGAAATTTGTGTAATGAACCATCATTCGTGTGTCAAATGTTTAAAAAATATCCGATTTGTCATAGCCTGGTTAGTTTTAGAGCTGGAAAATGTGTATTCCATTAAGCCAGGGAATAGTTAATAAGATTTTGACTTATCACCTTTTACATTTGCCTCCCAAATGCATTAAATGGCGAAAATATTTGCACAAAATGGATCAAAATCATAGGAACGACGCCAAAATGATGGAGTTTTGTACCGCCATCCTTTCTCTTTCTCTTTTTTCTCTTGCTTCCTTCATAATCCATGCACGGACAGCCCGCTGAATCGCTTTCAGAATTCCAGTCCCATTTGGCGCAAGCCGAGCAACCCAACCTATTATAGTTTATATGTATTAGTTGCTTACAACCCATGTGGGGTGACCAGAAGCAACACATTTGGCTGATTGCCTCTGAAATTGTGTATTAAAAATCAAATGATTAACGAATACTGTATCAGTAGAAATAACTAAAATGGGCCCATACTTTTGTTGTAAAAATAATAATATGGTACAATGCACTCCGCCAAATATCCTATGTCCTTCGATATATTTCCGTCCTGATTGTAATGAATCTGAATTCTGTCGGTCTGGACTGGACAATAAAATCCTTCCGATTCAATCCGGCAGTCCTTGACATTGTCACAGTCTGCACAAGCCATACTCTTCATGTATGTCGGTATAAGATTCGAATCGGCATTGGCCATTGCCACGGTAAGCGCGAAAATTATGTAAAACAAGAGCCCGGACATTTTTGTTGTATAATATATTAACTTGGGAAACTTTCTTTGAATGATATATTAGATATGTCGTCCAAATGAGCTTCTGGGTGTTTACTGATGCCAATAGCTTGGCTACCTTTGTTGTCAGACTGATGTTTCCATACAATCTTGCACTTGGGTCGTGTCAACTGTTGGGATGACTACCAGATAAAAGCCAACCTATTCTCAGAATAGTATCAATGTTTATCGATGTTTAGGAACAAAAAACCATCGATAGTGGCCATATATCGGGAGTTAAGAAATTAAAACAAGAACTAAAAACTAAACTTAACATTTTTATTACCATTGATTTATTGTTTAAAGTTACATAATACAATTTTTCATATTTTGTACTTAAAAAGAAAAAAATTAAAACATTTCAGTATTTGATAAACATAACCAGCTAATTTAATTGGTTTTAAAGAGTTTTTAGAGCTGGAAATTGTGTATTCCATTAAGCCAGGGAATAGTTAAGAGGATTTTGATTTATCACCTTTTACATTTGCCTCCCAAATTCATGAAATGGCGAAAATATTTGCTGCACAAAAAGGATCAAAATCATAGGAACGACGCCAAAATGATGGAGTTTTGTACCGGCATCCTTTCTCTTTCTCTTTTTTCTCATGCTTCCTCCAAATTCATGGCACGGACAGCCCAGTGGATCGCCATCAGAACTCCAGGCCCATTTGGCGCAAGCCGAGCAACCCATCGTATTAAAGTTTCTATTTATTAGTTGCTTACAACCCATCTGGGGTGACCAGAAGCAACACATTTGGCTGATTGCCTCTTAAATTGTGTATTAAAAATCAAATGATTAACGAATACTGTAGCAGTAGAAATAACTAAAATGGGCCCATACTTTTGTTGTAAAAATAATAATATGGTCCAATGCACTCCGTCAAATATCCTAAGCCCTTCGATAAATTTCCGTCCTGACTGTAATGAATCTGAATTCTGTCGAACAGCATTGGACAATAAAATCCTTCCGATTCAATCCGGCAGTCCTTGGTACTGTCACAGTCTGCACAAGCCATACTCTTCATGTATGCCGGTATAACAGTCGAACCGACATTGGCCATTGCCACGGTAAGCGCAAAAATTATGTAAAACAAGAGCCCGGACATTTTTGTTGTATAATATATTAACTTGGGAAACTTTCTTTGAATGATATATTAGATATGTCGTCCAAATGAGCTTCTGGGTGTTTACTGATGCCAATAGCTTGGCTACCTTTGTTGTCAGACTGATGTTTCCATACAATCTTGCACTTGGGTCGTGTCAACTGTTGGGATGACTACCAGATAAAAGCCAACCTATTCTCAGAATAGTATCAATGTTTATCGATGTTTAGGAACAAAAAACCATCGATAGTGGCCATATATCGGGAGTTAAGAAATTAAAACAAGAACTAATAACTAAACTTAACATTTTTATTACCATTGATTTTTTGTTTAAAGTTACATAATAAAATTTTTCATATTTTGTACTTAAAAAGAAAAAAATTAAAACATTTCAGTGTTTGATAAACATAACCAGCAAATTTAATTGAAAATAGTCAACAAAAAAATTTTGTTGCATACACAACGAAAATAAAAAATATTATCTGGCCTTTATATCTGGAACAAAACCATGAGGTTGCTCCATTTGTTTGCAGCTCTAGTATCCAGGTACGCAATGACTGTCTATTCAAAGTCTAGTAAAATTCGTTTAATTTAATGTATTTTATTGCACACAAATCGTATAGCACACATAAGAAAAACAATGAAAACGTTGCAGCCATACGGCTTTTCTCCTCCACTATTTTTCTGTGGCCCACATGGACAGCCCATTGGATTAAGGTCCAAGAAAGAGCCTCTTTCGTGGTATGTGGCACAATCGGAGCAACTCCTTGAGCGCTGCTTGTTTATGACTTGCTGGCATCCCATTTCTGGCGTCCAAAAACAGCATGCTGCCGAAATTTCCTCTGAGCTTAGTTTAGAAAATCGTTAACAAATATAAATAAGTCATTTAAGCGAATTTACCATGATTAAAAAAGTAATGATCAGGACCCATGCACTCCCTCAGATGTCTCAGATTTACTACCACGCCTTTTTGGGCATCGATCTGATCACTGTCCTCTTCCTCACGACAGTAAAATCCAGAAGATACGATTTCGCATTCCTCGTTCACCATCTTGCAGTCGCCACATTCCATTTTGTCCAAGTATGACAAGTGGCCGGGAAAATGTCCCTTGTCGGTTTGATTTTGGAAGCAACTAAAGCGTATCAGTGTAGCGAGGATAAGCCAAAATATTGGATACATTTCCCTTGACTAAAACAATGTGTATAACAATATCGTGAATTCAAGGCCTTCTCTGTTATATTCTATTATTTATAAATTAAATTAATAAATTAAATTAATTAATACATTAATTTATAAATTATAGTCAGCCTTGGGACTCGGATTGAATTGTTTGGTTATAGGCTTTCTCTTATTTTATTATTTTTACTCTTTCTCTTTTTGTTCTGGAGTTGGTTTCAACCTTTTTTTTTTTTTTTTTTCTTAAAATCGATAAGTTCTTTAAGCTTTATGCAATTTACAATTGTGCTGGCCGCAACCTTTTCTGGTGGAAATATTTTTTATTGACGTGACAATTGAGCATTTTCGTCAGCACATGGCTGTGCAGTGGGCTATTTATAGTTCGGCCTAACCCAGAGACACTGCCAATGTCTGGTTGTAGGTCTGGGCCGGGGTCTCCGCGCACTCTGTGATGGCATTCACCGATTGCTGGCTCTCTGGCTCTCTGGCTGACTCAGACCGCCAACAGGTGAACATGTACACATGAGCATAAACATAACATAAGCCATAAATGTAAGTGCATACATTTAATAAACCAAATGCAAAGACAAGCAATGAAGTAGCAAAAAGCCCAAAAGCCAAACTGTGAATAACACATCTACTTTTTTGCTGTATTTATAATTTTTTATTGCTTGTATTCTTCCGATGATTCAACCCAATTTCAAACCACTTTAAGCACGTGCCCTGGCCTTATGCAACCCTCCCTCCTATTGCACTGCACGCTCGCCAGCCGCCTGCAGTGACTCTCAAACTGTCAACCAGTCATGGCCACATTTGGGCAAATAAGTTTTAGTTTTGGGCCTGTGGTTTGCGGTCTGCTTCAAATCTGAAGCGCCCTTGCCGTAGTCGTCTCTCATCTTTGATTTTCTCTGCGTGTCTCTGCATGTATGTATGTATGTATGTGTATGTATCTGTGTGTATATGAGAGTGTGTGTAAGAGCATGAAATAATGACATCATCGATGTGAGGCTTTTTTGTGCGGAAGAAAGCAGCTGGCATATAATTTACCAATTGTCCCCTACAACAGCAATGAATAGAAATGAAGCAGGAGAAACTTTCTTGCATAGAATTTATTTAACATGGCTCTACAAATTTCTATAATTTTAAGCCATTTATTTTACTATTATTTACTATTACTATTACTTTTTTTTATTTTATTTATTTTCCTCTGGTCGCTGTTCTCGTTCGAGTAGTTCTTTGACTCTGCAGCGGCCTCTAAATTCTACAAAGCCGCAACTTTTTTTGCTCCTATTTTTACTGTAATTTTCTTCTCTCTATATCTTTATGTTTTCTTTGCTTTCACTTGCCGCCAGTTTGGCTAATAATCCACAATAAAATAAAAGCCAACAGCAACATTTTAACATTGTGTAGGAAAATTACAACCAAAGCAAGAATACGAAAAAAAAAAATAAGAAAAAACAAAATCTAGCAGGCTAGAGTCAAAAACACTATAAATGTCATAAATAAAAAAGTGCTTATTTCTAGTAGGGAGGGGGGGAATTTTTGGTCGAGAAAAACGCGCCTGAAATCGTTGCCAATTGGCAAGTGCCAAGAATTGGGAGGCCCGTTTTCACATACAAATGCAAATCGTATGTCGATCGAATGATGAGAACGAAATTCAAGCGCAAGGCGGCTAGTGACAGCAACATTAGCCAGTAAACAAAATTGCCCCAATTAGCGGGTGGAAACCACTCATTTGCATCCATTGTTATATTATATTATATTATTTATTATTATTATATTATATTATTTTTTCCACACTGTGACTCCCCCACAAAGGTTCACAAACCAGAGCGAAACTTAACAGGCTTTAGGCTTTCCAATAAGTAACAATTAGTCGAGAGATACAGCCCACAGGCCCCATAGCCATTCCCATACACACACCCTCTCTGTTTTCGGTACAGATTTTCGGTTTGCCTGTTGTTTGGCAACCGAAACGGGTGCATTCCCGTGCACCACATTGCGTATGAGCGATAAATAAAGACGGCTAAATTCGGTGTCACTGTCAGATAACAAGATTTAGAGGCCAGTCCCTCTATAAATATCCTATATACTCGTGCTCTCGTATGCTTGTGCATGTGCTCGCATCACATGCAGACTTTTCTGTCTCTCGTTTGTCGGCACCCGAAACACGAATATAACGCATACGCTACGTTGCCGTTTACCTGCATCTTGCCTGGGTATATGATGAAGCACTTTGCTTAGAGAATCTCATTCGGGGTGTAGGGCACTGTAGAGCCGGTTACTGTTCCAATAGTCACTAATGATTGTTAGTCATAACTTAATGATTCGAGTGAACTTTGATCCGCCGACTTGCCGCCAGATTGAACTCCCCGCATGAGAGTTCATTCTGTGTAGATCATTATGACGTTGCAGATTTGGTTTCTTCCACAGGGAATTTTAACTAAGTTGCAGACTTGTCACCTTTATGAGCTGTCCAAAGTCTTCTCTGTTAGGTTTACCGAATCCAAAAGTTAGATCATGTTTGTGGCTGACAAATTTAATTGAATATAATGAATGGCTTTGGTTGTTCGCCATTTATTCATTCGTCTCGCACGGTTGACTCTGTCATTCTCTCTTTTTCTGTGTGTTTTGGGATTTTTAAAAATTTCTGTGCAAAGTTTTCCATTCAATTGATTCTTTTTTCTATCCAACACTTTAAATTTTAATTTGTTTTTTGATGTTATTTGTTGGTGTGGCTAAAGCAAAGTAGAACCTGATTCTTTCCTCCTTTGTGTTTTATACCGCTTAATTTGCTGTGGTTTTTGCTTTGCTTTTACCTTTGTGGGGCAAGCACACACACACACACACACAGCTTTGCCTCTGCACTTTGTCACTCTTTTTGGGGAACTTTTTTATTACCACTGGGCGTGCCGTTGACCAAATGGATAATTACCAGAGTGCGAGGTGAGCCCCAATCGATGATGAGACATAAGACTCGACCATCGATCGATTTGCAGTCAAAGCCAGACAAACGAATCAAGATTCAAGATCTTGGGCCATCGGCAAATATGAATAATTTCCGTGCTCAAAGTTTGCCCTCGCCCAGCCTCAAAGTTCTGTGGTGCCTCGACTTCAAAGCCCAGCGGCGCGCCGCTGTGTCTGGCAGCAGCTCGAACTATCTGGACATTATTTGTATGCTCTGGCGACTCTTAGTTTAATTCGTTGTTTTATTTTTAGCAAATCTCGATATACTTGTATTGTCTACACCGCTTCCCCTCCGTTGCCATCCCCCACCTCTCGATCGGTTTCATAAATATTTATTACGCTATTGGTCTTATTTTATGCGAACACATGTTGCCCTCGACGAGGGATGCCACAGCACTGATTTCGCTTCGATGATTTCTGGGAAGTGAACGGATCCCATCTACTTTATGGCTGCTCCAGTATTTTTGCCTTCCATTCAAGCGAATTCCCAGGAGTTTGGTGGAAAACCACAGCCCTTTATTTAATCAGTCTTGTTCTGCCTTTCCACTAAATAGTGTAAAGTTTTCTGCAAAATCATGGTGAAATTGAATGAATATAATTCTTTGCTAATTAACAGGAACTCGATAATGTTTATTGAAATGTTTCTAAATAAATTTGCAGATTACAATTTTCTCATCACGAAATAGTTCCCTAAATAGCAATTAAAGCTTTGCCAGCCCTGCCGAAGGGGTCAATTCTTCATCGGGAATATATAATACATATATATAAAGATACAATGTATGTATGGGCAAACCGAAGACAAATAGCAGCCACATGGATCAGGCGTTATAAGAGCCGTAAACATGTTTCAGCTCTTTGCGGTTTCTTAAGCAAATCCATTAAAAAAAAATATATATATATATATCTATACAGAAATACATTGTGTTTTTTTTGCTGCTCTTTATCGGAATCGAATTAGCATTTAAAATAATAAGGCGCCGCACATAACCCACTCCACCAAACGAAAAAGTGGCAAATAAATTTATGCAAAATCGTGTATTTAATTATCGAAACCTAAAGCCAACAGCAACACAAAATTAATAAATTAATTCCGCATGAATAGTCGAAGCTTACAATACCCTCTTAATTAGAACGCTTAACTGAAGGGAATATTCTAAACATTTTTCATTACCTTTCCTGACAGATATTTTGAGTATTTGAATCATTTAATTGCATAAAAATGTGAATTATTTCGTTACTTGATTAAGTTCCAGCCATCTTATACACACTGATATCCACCCAGTTTCAGTAGGCCAAAAAACAATAATGAATTCAAAATACTCTGAAAAAGAGGCAACGACTCACTGGGCTGGAAATAATCTAGTTGCTTAACCAGTGACATGAAAATTGTAATTAAAAGCCCCAGCCCAAATCCGCATTAATAAGTACATATAAAATCAACTAACAAAAACTACTCACCATATATTTATGTATGTAAATTGTATCTGCATACAGTTAGGATTAAAATTCATTACAAAATCAATTAATACAGATAATTAAATGTAATCAAACGTCTACATGCATCGGACTTTATAATATGTGCAAGTATGTATATGAAAATTCAGCAATGTTACTTTACAGCTTTGCTCACAGGTAATATTTACTGCAGACCTATAAAAGGCGCAAAATTATAATAAAAAATAGTTGCAATAAATCATGCATTCCACATACTAAATAAACTACTATCATCTGTACCGTATGAATCGTTTTATTTCCACCTTATATGGAATCAAATAAATTCAAATAATTTTGGCATTTATTTTTGCCCTAGCCGCACATAAGGGCTCAATGCTCCCATGCCCTCAACGGCCAGCGACCAGCACGCGCTGTGCCTCATTTGGAATGCCAATCAGCTGTCGCGTTTATTGGCATCCCCAGCCCAATCCACACACCCCCTGCTCCTGGAAGGGGAAGTGGAACAGAGAGCATTACGTGCAACAGCATCAGCAGCAGCAGCGGAAGTTGTTTTTGAGGCTGGAGTTTGGCATTCTGCACAGCATTCGAGGGGCTCGTGTGTGGCGCTGCCGTTACCGCC